CCGGGAAGCAGCTTCCCAAATAAGGCTATGAAGCTCCACTTTCCCAAGGCACAGCTGGCTGCTCCTTGAACACTGGAGGAACTCAAATATCTCACAAGAAAGTGAAAAGAAAGAACACCCCTCCCCAGAAAACACCCACATGCCAGGGGAGGCCCAGGACTAAAGGGCAAGGGGCACAGGCTAAATTTATAATAAAGAAAACTTTCAACTGGCTTCATGATTTGGAGGTGCCTTCCCACAAAGTGCAGACTTTCAAATAACAACTGTATGACAATTCAAGACTGCAAGGCAAAAGCCTGTTTTTAGTAATATTTGATTTAAATTAATTTAAATGTATTTAATATTATTTTGGTTTATTGGTAATTATTATTGGTTCCTTCTTCCCTTCTCCTCTCTCCTCAAATCCAACTTTGTATCATACAAATTAATGCTGGCCCTCAAGGTCCTTTCTGTTTTCCTTGGAGGAACATGACTCAAGTTCCTGGAACTACAACTGCTTGTAGCAACACCCTCCCACTAATGCCCTGGCAGTTGCTCTGCACAAGAGCACAGAGGAGCTGCAGAGCTCCCACAACCTCTCGTGTGCCCCTGAAGCTCCCAGCTGGTGCCCTCAGGAGACAGCAAGTGTCTGCAGACCGAGTTGTGCAGGAGCAGAGGAAAACCACATCTGGTGGCAGCTCCAAACCCCATTCTGACTGGCAGAGCCTGGGGTGATCTCTGCACCCTTCCCGGAACACGGCTGTACGTCCAGGAGTGTCCTTGGCTCGCTGCTCCAGGCTTTGGGAATGCACAATACTTGGAACTGCCAGTAGATGCCACAAATTCCTGCTGGCTCATCCTGCAAGCTGTGTCTTGTAAACTCCACAACTGAACAGAAGCAAACCTGAGCTTTAAGACTTGAGGGCACGCCTGGAGCACAGCTTCCCAATCTTCCCACAAATGTGGCATTTCACCAAGCGGTGCCAATTTTGACAGGTGTCTCTTTGGAGGGAAGCACAACATCAGCTCTAGATTCCACTGGGAACTGCAGAGATGTGCACGAGACCAGGAAACCGAAAGGAATACTGCTGCTCCGGGAATCTGGCAGGTGTGGTTTGTAATATGCCCACAGCGGGCATATTTGTTTCCAGGACTGCAGCCTGTTCCTGGCATCTCCTCAGAAATTCCCGTAACAGGTCTGTCATCTGAGAGAGATGAACTGATAACAGACCAGCCACAATCCACTGGAGACTTTGGCTCCAAAAACACAACAATGTAGTCCCACAGGCGCAGCGGAGCCATGACTGAGGCACATCCTTGATGTTCACATGGGTGAGTTTAGGTCTGAAGGTCACAGCAACCGCCCCAAAGCTGGGCCAGCACTAACAAAGGGGATGTGACATGATGGAGGACACCTGAAGTGATCAACATCTGTATCTAAGCTGGTTGCTACCCTGCAGTTGGCCCCAGTCTGTCACAGAGTGAAGCTCCCAGCCCTTACATCACCTAAGAATAACTAATTAACCTAACAATAATTAATTAAGTCCTGTCCACCCGCAGCCTGGTCCATGCCAAAGTGCAGTCGGGAGCTTTGGCAGTGTTGGAGCAGCTGCAGGTTGAGTCAGACGCTGGAGATTTCACTTGGGGTTTATTTAACCCCAACCTCAGCCACCAGCTCAGCTGCTGGTAACATTCCACACACCTCATGGGCATCACCTGCATCCAGTGTCAGCACCACCAAGAGTCCAGGTGACGTGCTGGTAAGGAAGCAGCAGCAGGACGTGATGGATGAGATGGGCACCCCAGGGACAAGCCTGCAGTGCGCTGCCCCAGGGGGGTGCTCACACCCAGCTCCCCTTCCCCAGCAAAGCCAACTTGCTGTTGGCAGGGGACCCAGAGCTTTGCCGGTGCCACTGCCTGACATCATCCAAAATCAGCAGCATCGGGGGTGTTGCTGGCACCAGACCTCGCCCACTGCTCTGTGCTGTAGGGACCCCACCCTGGAGCCCAGGGGTCCATACAGCAGGAGCTGCCCCCCGTCCCTGCTTCACAGGGACACCCCCAGCACCTCAGTGCCCACACACAGCAGGACAGCCCTGGAACAACACTGCAAGGTCCCATCATGACACGGACCCCCACTCAATGTCCCCTCAAGGAAGGATTTCCCCCCGCAACATCCCAGTGCTCCCTCTGGGGACCCCCCACCCAAATCACAGGGCATCCTCCAGCAGGTACTGCCAAACACCCCCCCAGGATCCCACACACTCTCCCAGGCAGACCCCACCAGCTTCCTGGGTCCCCCCACAGCAGGGATCCTTCCTAGTGCCTCAGAGCCCCTCCCTGACAGGGACAGGCCCCCATTGCACCACCCAGACTCCTTCAGTGCCCCAAAAAACCCTCAGGTCAGCTCCCCCCTCAGCACCCGATCCCATGACAGGGACCCCTCGAACCCCTCACAGTCAGGACCTCCCAGTTCTCACCAGGGACCCTCCTAGCGGACCCCATTACAGAAATGCTCCCCAATTCTATTACAGATACCCCCACAATTCCCTCCGGATCCCCTCACGACAGGGATCCCTCGAACTCCTGACAGTCCCGTCACAACCAAGACCCCCCAATTCCCATCAGAGATGCCCCCCAGTTCCACTACAGCATCTCCCCCCTCCCTGTTTATTCCCAACTCCCTCAGGGTCCCCGTCCCCCTCCTCAAACCACTAAGAGCTCCTCACAGCCAAGACCCCCCAATCCCCCGCTCCCAGCAGACCCCATTACAGAGACCCTCCGCAACTCCCTCATGGTCCCCTCATGAACAGGACCTCCTCGAACCTCTGACAGCCCC